AAATGAAGTCAATATCATATTCAGTTCAACGTGTATTTTGCAAATTCATATTTATGATGCAAAGGGGGAAGGATATCAAGTAAATTTCATTAAAACACCACAATTTGACATTTTGATACAAACCATTCTGTTTTGCCATATTAGTATAGTATCAAACAAATCTGCCATAGAAATAGGAAGGCATGTTTACATTATGGTCACTAGCTTTTCATTAACAGCAAATTGCACAATTGTGTATCTGTAATCACCCCGTGTATAGTGTTCAATCAGCTTTATGGATTTAAGTCTTGAGTGTAAAGATTACTACATTTATGTACTGATCATTGCCATCTTGTCAGAGTCAGTAAAAGAGTGTCTATTAATCTACAAGACATTTAAAAAAGCAAAGTAGATTTAAAACCGCAAAACAAAATGAACCATTGTCAAGTTTGAAATCAACCCTGTCAACACTCAAATATGTCATATATCAAATTTTATACTTTGTGGTTTATTTGAACGAAAGTGATGGCAAATTTGTTAAGGGTTATCAATTCAACAAAAACAAATAATGTGTGAATGTACACCATTATGTATCAACTTTGTAAATTGGGCCAGGTCAAAATCATGTGGAATGATGAGCAATAACAAATACTGGTATAGTATTCATGAACTACTCACCCCTTGCTGTTTCCAGTTCAAGATGAATATTCATTTGCCTTTCTTGATCAGTAACTGGGTCATCCAATTTCTTGGAAATATCTGTCACAATTATGTACAGGAATTTACCCTGCATAAAGACCTACAAAAATAAGTTATATTTTAAAGCATCTCCAAAATAGTGTTATTCAATAACAATTGCTCATATATTGTTTTTGTTCCTGCATGCTGGCATATAAGAAAAAAGGTGTAAGCCCATTACGCTGTTGGAAATGGGTTCACAATGATTTACCTAGAACAATTATGCTGGAATAAGATGAGTGAACAGTTTAGTGTAAAAAAACAAAAACACAACAGTGAATTTAAAATTATAAGATCCTATGTTTTCAATTACCAAATGAAACTTATGCAAACTTCTATTTAGAGGTCATGGTTAAACCTATATTGATCAGAACACCCCAATTGGTGCAAAACATAGAGGTGAGAGTGTAATGTGATATGGATACTCCACTCTTGATTTATGTGGGGAATCAGTTGTTTATGTAAGGGTAAGGCATTGAGTTGAATTATCTTTTCCCTGCAGACATCTGTGAACACAAATGGTGTCAAACATAAGCAGAAAGATGGGTCTTTTTGAATTGATATACCATATCTTCGATCACAATTCTCAGTAAATATTTCTAGTCCAGTTGCATTGGAATGTGTAAGTAAGCATCATTTAGAAAAATCAAGAAAATCATAATATGACCTGTGATGAAACAATCCTAAATAAATTTATCTGAATTCATACGTTCATCACTGTTCCATGGTCCCCTGATACCTTTGAGAAAAGAAACATACAAACATAGAAAGAAGGATTTGATAATCACTTCCTTGCTCAATAAAGTTGCAATCTCTGTTGGAATTGCACATGCCTTCTCCAAATTCATTGGTAATAAATCACATGGAAAATATGTTACGAATGAGTGACGAGGAGCAGTGAGTTGTATTTTGTTTTTGCACTCTACAACTGAAGAGTGAATCACCAGTGAATCTTCCTCCCCACACTGGTTGATGAAAGTTTTTTCACAGTAGTATTTACAATCGCTGGGGTGACAGATGAAGGTTTTGAGGCAAAATTTTAAATCAGCTAGTGTGTAACAATGGGTTTCTAATCACATTGGCAATATCCCAATGAGCAGTGTGTTGTGTTCTAATGATGTCAGTGGACTGTGTTCATGGCCAATTCCCCCTTCATCCAAGTAAACTGCTGATGGACACAAAGCTTTAATGACAGATCAATCAATCACATGTACAACAAAATAGCTGCTAAAAACAGTATAACATGTATAAGACTAGATGTGCTAGAATGGCTTACAAGTTGATTACTCAGCATTGGAGAGAGTACTCCAGTAGACCCCTTTACTTTTTTTTGCTAAATTCCTAGCAGTATCCTTAACAGCAGTGGCTTTAATTGTCACACTCAACATTAGCCACAATATAAATTCTGTAATTCCATTTAATACAACTCACCTGATGTGAAATATAATAAATTTCTTGCCCACCAAAATCAAACAATGTGAAGCAAAAGTCTTCTTTTTCTGGATCTTTAACGTCTTTCAATCTTTCCATGAGTTTATTAATATATACTTCTTTATTCTTTTTAATCTGCTCAATTCTAGCTGCATCTCCTTTTACTTCAACTTCAATATTTTCAAACTTGGGACTGTCTTGAGGCACAGCTTAAAGTAGAACAAATTATTTACATTACTTACAATTTACATATTTAAAAGGGAGCATGTTCTTTCAAACCTTTTCAAACCTTTAGATAGCGACAACCCAATATGCTGGCACATAAATGTACCAAATTAGTTAATCTCAGGGCAAGGAATAGGAGAATACCATTGACATCCAATATCATACAAGTGTGCACACAGCTATACACAAGTCTCAAAATGCAACACTTATGTCAAATACACCAGTCCAAACCAAGGATTTCGTTAAGAGCCGGCTGCCAGCCATATGGCCTGCTACAAGCCCAAATTGGCAGTCTACTTTCTGTTCTCCCCCTGACCGCGTACACCGGTCGCACTGCTGTGAGTCGTTTAATTTTGTTTGACCTGTTGTTACAGGATGATGGCCTGCTATTAAATGCATTTGTGAAACCCCTGCCAAACTTACTTCAACTTACGAAACTGGGGATCCTCTCTAAAACACCCAGGCAAGTGCTTTCATGTGAAGTGAGCTCAATAGTTTCTAAATAATTAACAAACAACCATCTCAGCCTCATTATTTCCCACAATGCTTGATATATTTAAAACTAAAGCAGATTATTGTGTGTACTGATACTGTATGCATTTAAAGCTATAGGTTGTCTGTTGAGCACGATAAGCCATTGTTGATCCACTGTCTTTGCAGTGTCTTTCTCAAAACAAAGGTGTTAATGTTTTATACAATAAGATAGGAATGTGACTGATCAAATTTATTTAATTTTTCTCATATAAAGTATTGGTCAGACAAACTACATGTGAAATATCAAGTTGATGAGTTAAAGCACAAAAATAAATGCCCAAAATTCTGGCCATTTCTGCTTGGAATCTAAATTGTTATCCACATTGATCAATATCAACAAAATAACAATTTGATCAGTTGATGCAGTCATGAGAAACAAATGCTCAAACTTTTATTATAAACTTTGGACCAATATGTACAGTGCTTTGATTTTCAAGCATTTTTTGCCGTTGTTATTGTTCTGATCGAATTCAGGAAACCTGTAGTATGTGCCACAAAATAATCAGATCACCTAGATCTTCAGAAAATGGTCAAATAGCCATTTAATTTCAATCTAACATGGCTGCCAAAACAGTGAGCCAATCTAAATTTCAAGAGCCCTAATCCATATTACCCCTATTCAATTGAATAGAGATGAGATGACTCTATTCAGTCTGCTAGCTTGGAACACTTATGATACACTGTGATTCATTGCAATGCAAACCAACTTAAAATCAGCCACTATTGAACTACATGCCCTACAACCAAGATAACAATCTAGAGATACATGCCATTCAACACCAACCAAATGATGATACATATGTAAGTTGTGAAAGTTGTGGCCACCACCATTATGGACCCAATATGTTCAATGTACACACACCTCCATGTACATTGAATTCTTTACTTCAGAAGTCTTGAGAAAGAGTCCTGACTGAAACTACCATTATTGTTTTTCACAAATATGGGATATAAACTCATGTAAAACATCACTGCCTCAGGCAATTTACATTTACCTGGAAATTATCTTATTTTTTTCACTTCCATTTATGAAAAAAAGTTTTAGCTGCTGACAACCACCACCACCATCCAATATCCATTCTACCTATCTTGAGCAACATTCAAATTTCTTGAAAATTAAATTACACACTGTATTGATAACAAAGGACATTTGTGCCAACGAAATATGATGAGTGCCTCTTCATATATTGGTCATAGGGACATGTACATAAACATCCACAGAGGCAGGCTTTAGCTCAATTGTTTCCAGTATGTGTTTGGTGCACACAGGGGCCTAAACACATTGAAATATATATATATATATGTATGTAATAGAAAGATGCATGTAAATGCAGTATAATGACTACATTTGTTTGCATATCTTATTACCAAACAAACAGATCTATGACATTGTGAAACTAGGTAAAATTGATAGAATTCTCATTTTAATGGTGGTCTTTCAAAACAAACAGCAAGCAAGTTAGCAAGCAATGTTGTTATTTTGGTCATAGTAATAATGAAATAGTAACTGTCGGAATTAGGGGAAATGTTATTCATGCCAAAAATAAAGTAATATGGACCAAAGGCATAGTTAGTAATTTGAGAGAGAATAATTGATTGGCCTAGTATCAACAGAAATTAGGTGTATTAAATGACTCTTACAAAATCGTGGCTAGAAATTAAACAGGATATGCTTTTCATGCATTCTTTTGTATCCAAACTGAATTTTCCTTTGTCCAGGCTTATGTACAGAGACATGGTTGTATGGTTGAAAAGCAATATGGCCAGTCTGCCATGATTATTCTATTGTCCAGTCTTATGGTGAAACAAATTATCATAGACATGTATACTAACAAGTATAATGTATGTACCAAATTTGAGCAAAAACGGACAAAGAATGCATAATATACCACATTTTCAAAAACAAATCATGGATCGAATCAGTAAACATGTACATATGTCCCAGAAAAAGTACTAGGAACATTCAAAGAATGAACAGATTTGGTACACAGGGTTATGAAATATGACTTCTTTTGAACAGGGACTAATAACTCAATGATGATTGATAATAAACTAATAACATACTAGGTTTATAAATTTAACTTACCTTGTTGTTGTGGTATTGTACTTTCAATAGCATCTGTATAGGCTGATTCAATTGCCTTGGTTGAGTCATCTGCAGATTAAAAGAGTTCATTAATAACAATTAAAGACATGAGCAATGATAATAACATGATGTACAAAATATGCTTGAACTAAAAATATACAATTGTTCATAAAAATATTATCAACATTGGTAAGTGATATCTCAATTATTATCAGAAATGACAAACATGTTTTCAATAATAAAATACAATATAAAGAGCCACAGATTCATGCAAAACACAGTGTTAATCCCTAGAATAAAGGTAAATGTTATTGTCTGGAGTGTCTCTTAAAAGTAATGACTATTCATATCTGAATTGAATGGCCAACATAACTACTCAACACAATTTTGATCCCAAAATTTATTTACTGACAATTTTTCATTACAACTCTATACTTTTGAAACATGAAAGAAATAACTATCATATATTCATTATGTGAATAGAATGGCCAACATGATTACTCAAAACAATTTCAGTGATCACAAAATTTATTTACTGACAATTTTGCATTACAACTTTAAGAAAAGGCACAACAAGTCTGCCATAAACACACAAACCCACCCACACACAAAAAGTGTCAGTGTGTATAAAATTACTACTAAGAGTTTATCAGTTCAGTTATAGATAGCAAACGGTTGACAGTAAACTAATATCATACTAGGTCAGTCAACTTACTCTGTGGTTGTTGTTCCACTTCTCTTGCATTTGTAATATCATCTGTACGTTCTGATTCAATTGCCTCGATTGAGTCACCTGCATATTAAAAGAGTTCATTAATAACAATTAGGAGACATGAGCAATGATAATAATGTGAATATGCTAGAAAATATTCAATTGTTCAGAAAATTATTATCAACTGCAACATTGGTAAGTGACATCTCAATTATGAGTAGAGATCCTGAACATGTTTTAAATAATAAAATACAATATAAAGAGCCATAGATTAAATGACAAAACACAGTTTATTGTCTGGAGCATCTCTTGAAAGATACAACTATCATACATTCATTATGTGAATAGAATGGCCAACGTAATTACTCAACACAATTTGAGTGATCACAAAATTTATGTACTGACAATTTTGCAATACAACTTCAAGAAGAGGCACAAAAATTCTGCCATAAACACACACACACGGAAAGTTTCAGTGTGTATAATATAACTACTAAGAGTTCATCAGTTATGGATAGCAAACGGTTGACAGTAAACTAATAACATACTAGGTCAGTCAATTTAACTTACTTTGTGGTTGTTGTTTCACTTCTATTGTATTTGCAACGGCGTCTGCATGGGCTGATTCAATTGCCTCGGTTGAGTCATCTGCATATTAAGAAAGTTCATTAATAACAATTAAGAAACATGAGAAATGATAATAACGTGATGTACAAAATATGCTAGAACTAAAAATATACAATTGTTCATAAAAGTATTATCAACATTGTTAAGTGACATCTAAATTATTAGCAAAAATCACTTAAAATTTTTTCTGTGGCGGGTATTACTTGCATTATGTAACATTCTTTAATTTTTGTTCTTTCTTAAATTGTGTCTTGTAACGTAATTAAAAGCTGAGTATAACACTTTTTTCATGAAGAATTTGAACAGTGACAACAATGTATGTCGCCCTCTGTGTAAAGATCATGGCTAGGGACTTTTCCCCACTTGACTCTTGACACAGTACCTACTTCTGAATTCTGTATTTACAATAGGTAAGCGATGCCATTCTAATCTTTTTATTTTCATTAGTTATTCAATCCATCCACTTTTGAGCCTAGACCTATTGGTCTATGGAGTGCTTGAGGTCTCGTATGATGTTATATTTTTGTAATTTGTTGACCTGTAGCAGATCTTTTGCGAGATTTTTTTGTGATGTTAGTTTTATTTATACTCAACATGTGGTATAAACATTGAAGTATTTCTGATCTTGGTTTTTTACTTGACCTTTGACACAACACCTACTTCTGAATTTACAATAGGCACTGGAATAAGTTATCCTCCAGCAACCATTTGTATTATTTTTATTTCCACGCTCCACCCACCATACTTTACAGGACAGCGAGGGCCGTGTTGCAGTGGGAGTGCCGTACTGTCCGCCACATTGATGACCCCTGACGTGATGGTTCTGCTCGGAGTTTATGCCTTATGGTGATTGCTGATTGATGTTACCTGTATCCAAGCATTCCTGAACTGTGTGAATTTACGTTACCAAGCACTGAGTGATAGTGGTTATTTTGAAAACCAGAAGTCGTGACTAAATTTAATTAAGACAGAGGTTAGACTTGCTTGCAGTCTGTTGCGATTCCGATGAAAAATTTATGAAAAATATATACAAGAGTTGGCAGAGCCATCTCGATGCTGGGAAATTTAAAGGTGTGTTTTGAAGCAATGGATTGGCGAATAGGCAGAAAAGCAATTTCAAAGACTTTGACTTTGTTTTAATGAAAACTTGTAGTATACATGAGGGTACGACGTACGTGTTATTATTTATATATTTTGGATACTCAATTTTTAACTGAAAGAATTAAACTAAATTAAACAAGTCATTGAAAATGACACAGTCCCCGTTAAGTTCTCTTTGTGCTCACCATATTAAAGCGGAGGGGTTGTCGCGAGCGTGTCCTTGAAACTTGAGTTCCAAGTGGCGTATACAACAGATTGTTTATTTACATCAAAACACGAGTTTCGTGTCATAGTAATATGGCCAAAAATAAAAACAGACGTTATTCAGCCATCTTTGATCTGATTATGAAACACACTGATATGTATGATGTATGTGCCAAATACGAATGAAAATGGTACATAAATTGTGGAAATATAGAACTAAGGCCAGAAAGTCAGATGGCTGTCAATCGACCGTCCTTGACCAGATTTTGAAACAAATTGTTATGGACATGCATCCTAACATGTATAAAGTACGTATGTATGTGGCAAA